TGCCTCACCCAGCCGGAAGGTCGCATGGCACGCTCCGAGCAGTGGATTGGCTACGGTTGGTAGCTTGAAGCGTCCGCTGTGTTACATCGCGGTCTTGAACTGCGTGTAGCCATTTATAAATCCGGAACAAGCAACTGGTAAGGTTCCTCTGTTTCGTGCACTTGACGGCAAAAATTCGTACGCGAGTCATCGTCTAATGGAAATACATTTTGCTTCCCATATCATAAGATAACTTCACTAACCAACGAAAAAAGTAGGAGTATAAATAACTGCGGTGTAAAGAAGGGAGAGGAAGGCCTCACGAAGGGTGCAGCATGAACCTTATCAGCCTTTGTACAATCCAATCTGCGAACGAAAATATTAGTAGTTGAAACCGCTGCCTTGATTGCACATGCAATCAAGACAGAGCGATCACACCTCTAGTTTGAAGTAGCTCATGAATAGATTAAAACTACCCCCCCCCCCCCCCCCCCGCGGTCCAACAGGAAGCAACACGCTTAAAAAAAAATATCGCTGCTTTATCTAGAGCATTTAAAGTAGCTAGGTCATCAGGTTCGACGTTGTTCGTACAGTAAAAGCCGTGAAAGCTTAGACGCACGCCGTGAAAGCGTCCTTCAGAAGGCAAAGAGCCAAAAGCAATTACGGATACCAAGAGCAAAAACTGCAAGCCAAAAAGAAAATACAATGCAAAAATTCAAAAAAGGGCGTTTGATTTGTTCCTCGAGACCACGAAGCTTGATCGAAAATTATAATTCTCGATGGTAAGACAAAGGCCGCGTGCTCATGTAGGCGAAGCTTGGAAGAAATGTGCGTGACACTCCATGTACGCGGGGCTCTATTTTTTTTAATACAAGTATGCAACGGAAATGGTGCTTGATCCTTCACATTGAAGGCAAAAAATGAACAAAAAATTGTGAATATCTATATACTGCTACAAAAGAAAAAGCAAACAAAGGTCCGTACGAGCTAGAACAATAGATTGGCTTTTTTTTTCGCGGGAATCTCTGGGTATACGCGTCGTGGTGATCGGTCTTCATTCGCCGGTCCGACAACCCGGCAACGTTGATTACAGGGCAAACACGCTCGGCATAAAGCGGCGTTGTCTCACGGAAAGGTATCCAATGAAAACAGATAAGCCTTGATTTTTATTTTTTTTTCCTTCTTTTTGGGCTGTGTGTTGCGTCGAGTAGCCAGCTAATTCCCCGAGAATATATAGTCTCCTAGTAGGTATGTCGAGGTCGTTTACTTACACTTATGGCTACACTGGGTCTTTCATCTCGAGCATAACGAAAAAAAAAAAAAAACGACAGCAAAGGTCAGAACGCGACGTCGATGTTTGATCACGCAGCCTCAGATGCACACTCTAATAACCATGTGCTGGTTTCTATGAAACCAACACATGGTCTATGAAACCATGACTGTTGGTTTCGATATACGTATAAAGTACCGACTATAGTTGATGACAGGACGAGTACGAGCGTTCATATTTTGATAGCACCGCGCGCGTGGAGTTTACAACGAGCGATGCAAAAACCTGATATGTTTAGTATATATTCACATAAAAATCGTACCGCATATCCACTATGAAAACTTGTATCGGTTGGAGCATCGTACGGCTGTGCGATGATCCACGTTGAAGACACCAGGGTTGCAGCTACACTGGCGAAATGTCCCGTCTACAGAGGAATCGCCAGTTTCCCATGGGACCGGCTTTTATTTCGCCGTCTAAATACACGCACTACGCACTTACTTTGCAAAAGCTGGCTCAGACATTGGCGGTTGAGTGCGATCTACTGCGTTAAGACCGCATGTGACTGTGTACGACGCGATACGCGCAACGCGTCGTAATGGAACGCAAACTGAGAGTCGTATCGCAGTCAGACACACTCAGGCGCAGATGTCTGAAACAGCCTTAATAGTCGCCCATTGGTAGAGCAGCACATTCTGTTTGTAAAATTCCTAGCTTCAACAACGCCCCCCAAAAGGGGGAATTGATGTAAGCTTACCAATAATGTGCCACGTTGGGTTTTCACATCACAATCCAAGACAAACAGGAGTCATATGGTGGCCAGCACTCAGAAATTTTAAAATTCCAAAACAAAGCTTTTTTTTTTTTTTGCTTTTACCAAAAATTGAGATTAGCGGTTGCTGCGTTCACTGCGCTGGATTACCTGGGATAGCCCCCGCTGCTGTTCATTCTCAGATGAAACGCTGAGGCGCCCACACACGAATGAAAAGGCGTCGCGTATGATTCTCGTCCAGCAGAAAGATACAAACAACAAGGAATCAGGAAGACGAGTCCTTGAGGAGGCGGCAGAGCCGTCGCCATTCTGTCTGCCACGACCGGATTCGCTCCCTTTTGTCGGTTTTTAGTTTAGTGTGTGTGTTTCCTTTTGCGTTTTGACTTTTGGGATTCCGATACTGACCTGTCAAGCCAGTTTTTAACCGAGTAGCTTCTTGGGAGAGGAGGGGAGGGAGAAAGAGAGAGAGGGGAATTGAGGAGAAAGGGGGAAGGGGGTGACTACTGCCCTCGTGCTTGCCTCCTCGAAATTGAAGGTGGAGAAAAAATATGTAAAAAAATATAATAAAATGTGTAGTACTTTGGCAGAGAACTTATTCTGACTTCTAAATGTCATGATTCGTCTTATGCGTGCGAGAATATTTGTTTAATTTCCGAGCATTTTGTTTTATGTATTAAATTGTAAGTAATTTACCTTTTCATGCTCGGCATTCTCCTTACCTTGGAGGCTTATTTGTAAAGCGATTTTTTTATTAGATTCCCGAATTGCGCAGTCATTAAACGAGCCGGCTAATTTCCTAGCATGCATGAAACTTTCACAAGCAAAATGATTATGGAATCTACGAGCGGTTTTCAGCTCGTTGAAAATTCTGGTTCGCGGCCAAAAAAAGCCGCACTAAGTTTCTTTATGTATGTTTTATATAAAACATATCTAAAAATGTAAGTTCGTTTGTTGCAAACTAATTTCTATTGAAGATATGTTTATGCCAAAAACTCTATGCCACTGATTTAGTGTGGACTGATTGCAAATATGGTAAGGTTTTGTTTCAGTTAATGGGTCTTTGTGCGGCCGTGCTTTTTAACTAATAGCACAAATTACTCCACCCGACATAAATTACTAGCATAAGTTGCAACCAATAAATGCCTACGAAAATACCGAAACAAAAACACCAAAAACAAGGGGTCAGCAAAATGTATAACTGTCCGGTAGGGCCGCAAAAAAATTTGAAATTCGCGATTTATACTACGAGAATACAAGCGTTTTCTTCCCAAGAAGATTCAATTTTTTTTTCTTATTTTTTTCTGAAAACCGGGACGGAAGTAAGAACTGTAGCCTTAGATTGCGTAACAAGATGCATATGCTCGTTTTTACTTGAAATAGAACTTGCTCGGTGTAGTTTACACTGATACTCGCAACTTAAATAATTCGACTGAAAACTGTCAGATGCAGTGAGTTGTTTCATAAAATGAACAAAAGTTTCTGTTATATATATGTACAGGGTGTCACAAAAGAAAATTTACACGGTCTTTTTTACCGCAAAAATAAACTAGGCATCGCCGAACGCTCATTCTCCGCCCAAAGGTAGAGCTAGAGGTCACAACCAGATGCCGAAGTTTCAGCCCCATCCGATAAGTTAATCAAAAGTTATTAGTGATTTTCTGAAAATCTCAATGGGAAAATGGAGCCCATTTTCGCCCGTTTTCGGTTTCTGGTGCCATAGAGCCCCATGTGTTTGAAAACTCCGTCGGCCGCCATTTTCCCATTGAAATTTTCAGAAAATCACTTATAACTTTTGATTAAGTTATCGGATCGGGCTGAAACTTTGGCATCTGGTTGTGACCTCTAGCTCTACCTTTGGGCGGAGAATGAGCGTTCGGCGATGCCTAGTTTATTTTTGCGGTAAAAAAGACCGTGTAAATTTTCTTTTGTGACACCCTGTATATACACAACGGGCATGGTGGCGGGAGGGCGAAGGCGTGGGTATATAACTGAGAAGAAAAACCTTTAGGTGAAAACAGCAACAACGGACGATTTAATCTTCGACGTTTCGGCCGGAGTAAGGCCTTCCTGACGAAGGCCGGACTTCGGCCGCCCCCTTTCCCCCCTTCATGTTAGATGTTATACATACCCCACTTTAATTGCGATCAACGCTCCAGACCTTTGCTTCATCAAATATATTACCGCAGGCCCCACTTGCATTGTTGAACGACTGAAAGACACACGGGCTGTTTTGTTACGTAGAAATTATTCGAGAGTTTAAAAAGCTCTACGTATTTTTGAAAAAAGATATCTTCTGTGCGACTCACAAAAAGTTACCTTGGCTTTCACTTTCGCATTAAACAGTGATGACTATCGACGCGTAAACTTCAGAATATTAGGAAACCGTCATCTTCTTACGTATCAAGTTTCTTCCTGGATTCTCAGACAACCTTAAACCTGTCACTATTTACAGGGATGACAATTGTGACATGTTCGTGTATGCTGCGGGTGGCATTGTTTAAAAGTCCTACTTTCTGTAGCTGTAATGTGCTGTAATGTGGTGCGCTCTAAAGCCCCTTCATGTTTCAAAAGTAGCGCGAGGTGCGTCGATGCAGGAGGCACGAGCAACGTGCAGCCCTTGGGAAGATCATGGCGCCACAGCGCAGCATTCAGCTAGGTCTCAGGCGCCATGTTCTTCCCAGAAGTGGCGCACGGCACGCGTCTCGATCATTCACACAACAATGAATGGCGCCACTTTCCCCACGATAGAGGGGCTTTAGTGCTCTCAAATTCACCCACAACATTGGGACGCTCGGGCCGAGATTTCGTCTGGATAGGTGTCGGTACAGGAGGGAGCAACGCAGCCGACGCGAGGTGACGCTAAAACGGGCGAAGAGCGTGGAAAACGTCCCATGTGGTTGGGGCTGTAGATTCGTTAGGTTCCTTCGATGCATAAAAATTAGCGAATGCTTATTGTGCTTCGCCTTTTCTTTCTTTCAGGCGGGCAGCGTGGACGATACCAGCCTCTTTGGCAGTGATCAAAACAGCGTCATACGAAAAGGTAAGAAATCCTACATCTTGCAAGCTCTAATATGTTTACTTAATCTTTATGCCTGCCCGTATGTTCTTTAACCCACAACTCTCTTTATGGAATACATATCTTTTTCCTGATATTGTTTTAATGTGTTAGCAGTAAAACGCTCGTTTTGACAAAAACCAGGCGGTGTCTTTCGTTCGTCAGTTGCGTGCGACACTCTCATTGGTCGGAAGCGCTGACATGAGCACGCATCAACATCTCCTTTCCTCCCCGGCGCTGACAAACTGACAGACACCGCCGGGTTTTCGTCAAAACGAGCCCTTTTGTATTCGGCAAAGTCACGCGCACAGCTTGCGCGGAGCCAGATAATACGAAGCACCGCGGAACACCTCCTATATAACAAAGCTGCAGTGCTGAACGAGATGGCGTCATCGGAGAAGGCCAACGCTGGACACAAATTGGAAACGAGTACTGCGTCAGCGCTCGGCTTCGAGTCAAGTTTGAGCCCAACGTTGGCGCGATCGTCGTGTCCAATCTGTGACCAGCGTTGGTCTTCTCTGATGGCGAGATCTCATTCAGCACTACGGCTTTGTTATTTAAGAGGTGTTGCGCCGCAGCGCGGTGGAATGCGGGCGATTGGTCAGTGGCCGCTCTGCTGTCGGCGTTTGTTCTCAGCTCTGGGCTTCCGTAGTAGCGGTGCGTGGTATGTGATGTCTGTGTGTAGTTAAAACGATGGATACAGTTCACTCCCCCAGTGATATGAATGCGGTTTTTTCCACGAGTGGTATAGATGTGGTTCTTTCCACGAGTGACATGGATGACCGTATCCAAGAGCGTCGACGTACTCTTACAAGCAGAGTATAAAAAAGTGGTGAAAAGTATTGTAGAAAGATCCATTGGGTGGACTCTTGGGGAATCCGTTAGCATGACCCTTGGGAAACGTTACACACGTCCCGCTTTGGGAAACGCTAACACTCCCCCGTAACGAGGCCAGAAAGAGGCTGCAAAAAATAAAGGCGGCAAAAGAAAACGCCAAAATGATGAAGTGAAGGCGTCAGCAATAGCGTTTCTCAAAGGAGGACGTGTATGGCATTTCCAAGGGTGATGCTAGCGCACACCCGAAGAATCCGCCAAGGGATCTTCCTGTAATTTTTGGCACTCCGAACGCTAGCGTTGAGAAGCTACAACGCTCACCAGTCCACATTGAATGATTTACTGGTTGATAGAACATATTTAGTGAGGAGCTCCTTGCTACAGGCTACTTGTTAGGCAATACAAGTTGATCTAACTGTTTCAAAGAACGCCACAGTTTATCAAACTCAACATTAGGTTCCTAGTTGTGCACGTTAACGCTGTGCTTGTCTGCAATCCTTTTCTGATAACCTGTAGGTAAAAAAAATATACATTAGCGACTGTTATCAATCTGGCTAACTAGATCAAAAAGAAATCCTTGTTATTTGATTGGTCAGCTTTCAGTGCGACCGATTAATGACGTAGTCGTGATTAACGTTTTTAGAAAATTAACCAGTTCGGTAATCACATTTATAAGCTTGTGACACAATCAGCTCGTTGAAGGAGAGGTATCAAGTTTTTTTTTATTGACACGGGCACACAGCCTACCTGCGTTTTGTCAAGGGTGTTAGCGCTTGTCACCTCACGTTTCACTTCTGCGTGCCCCTGGAGATTTCTTCTTTTTTTTTTAAAGATAACTTTCGCTGAATGTTCTTGAACCTCACTGTGTTTCCTCATTGAGTGGCAAGAGTGTCAAACCAGTAATGCAGCCTATACAATTCTAACTGTTTTTATAGACATATGTGGCTATATCATTTCTAGTTGAAGTGCTGTTGCCTGCGCAAGAACAAAGACACTCTCATGTTGTCTTCAACAGTTGTTCACCTGGGAGCCCCCAACGCCATTGGCAATTCAATTCATTTCACCTCAAACACGCGTAATGCAAAACTGCAAAACATTCCGTGATAACTTGATTTTTCTACTGCCGGATCAAACTGAATGCAGAATTTGTCGATATCTAAGTTTCAGAGATGCTTTGGCCATTTATGAGGTTTACGGGGGGCTTTCAGCGACTTAGCGTTTAGTCTCGAATGCGTGGATGGACATGCTTGAGGAGGCATCTTCTGAGTGGTCTATCCCGACAGAGCCAACATCCGTCATCCGTTAAACGCCAAACTATACAGTCAAATTGTGGTAAAGCACACCGTCAAGTTTGACTGATGGTGGGCACCGATTCTTTCTGGGTAGGTTCCCTTCGCGCGTTATAGAATGACTCATCGCCGACAACAAACCGGGACTTCTACTGGATTGGATCTTTTCACGCAGTGCATCTTACCGCTTTGTGGTGTTCCTATTTCTAATGCAACCAATAGCTCCGATGCCGGCTATTTCAATCATATTTGGGGGTTTTATTAGTGCGCGAGTGCATCTGTTGTTATCGCGTACAGCTTTAATGTTGTACCACTTCACCTATGCTCGTTGTAGAAATGACCGCTTCCGTAGAAAGCGCCCTCGTAAATCTTTTTTTGTTTTTTGGGCCAAAAAAAAGGGGGGGGGGGGGGGGGGTGCGGATCAAGCGTGACGCTTAGAAAAAGTTTATACACTTCTGTGTTTATGTGGAGAGCAAAAACGAAATGAAAATTAATTAAAAACTTATTAAGAGCCGAACGATATCCAAGCAACTTTTTGAACATTCAACCCCTAGAACAAAGTGTGCGAAATGAAGAAATTATTCACATTTTGTTCTTTTGTTATCATTACATCCTAACATAGATACAATAAATATCAGTTAAAACTTCCGGGTATGAAAGTAACGAGGAACTGTCGACTATCCATAGTTTTCTAATGATATTTATGTCTGAGTGCGTCGTACACACTTCAGAAAGAGAGCTTGGTATAGAAATGACGCCTCCACGCATCCATGTTTTTCCGCGTCTTTAATGAATCTTTCCTGCGTCCGCTCTGCCGTCGGCGCTACTCAACTGCGTCTAAACTTAACGGACGTCCCCTCTTCACAATAGACTTCGTGAAATTGACCGCGGATGAAAGGAGAAGAGTAAAGACGTCACTGGGTTGTCACTGTCTTGTCCGACGCACTATTTACTTCCAACGGGCTGGGAAACGAAGTCTCGTGCAGCGTTCGCAGCGCGCTCCCCTGGTGGTGAAGCGATTGTCACGCCCGGATACCTTTCCCTCCTCCGTCCTCTTTCGGCCCGTTACCCAGCGTCGCGTGGCTGCGCCGGTCGGCCTCCGTCGCCTCTCCTTCTCCGATGCGGTTGCACGCGGTCGGGCGTGTCGAGTGCGCGACGCCACCACGCCGTGGGTTAGCCGAGAACGAGGCTAAGCCTAACGTCCCAGTCGACTAATGTCGTTAGACCTATTTTACACTCCAGCCGGTTGCTGGCGGACCTCTTGCTTTTTTGTTATTTGTTTGGGTTTGCTCGGGATTGTTTTATGGTTGGGTGCCCGCGCAGGGGAGATTTGTTCGAAAGCGTAAAGAATGCACACGCAATAATAATTTCATAATTTTTATTTTTATTTTATTCCGTTACAGCTGTAATCGGTGAGGTTTCGCGGCGGATCGGGTGTACCACGTGGCCCGCTAAATATAACGGGAAAAGGCTTCCCGATAAATTTTAGCGGTGAATCACGGTATCGCGTAAAGTCACACAGTGTCACGTCACGCGAAGCGTTTTCGCTTTAGCTTTAGCGGATACATTTTCCCCTAGATTGAGTGGGGAAATCGTGACGTCACGCGTCACTCATGTGACGCGAATCGTTTTCCCGCTAGATTTGGCACTCAAAGTGTGATGCCATACAACGTGACGCGACGTCACCCTTAGTGTTTCCCCGCTATACTCAACGGAAGCATTTCTTCGTTAGATTTAGCGGGAACGCTGTGACGTCACGTTACATCAGAGTTTCACGTGACACTACATCACGTGCGGTCAAAATTTCCCTACTAGATCTAGGAGGCCAATCGTGACGTTTGGTGTCAATCGTAACCTTGGCACCAATTGGGCCGAATTTCGAACGGTGGTGTAGAACGATTGTGTTAATTATTATGAAAGGTTTTCATTAGAAGCTCGTGTGTATGCGACCGAAAAAAAAATAATTCCCGCTAGTATCATTTACTGTTTAGAAAAACCCTAGTTTAGGCGGCCGATTTTCGCCACGATCCGTCAGAGCTCTAAGTTGAAATGATTAGTGGGTGTATAGAAGCAAAGCTATAGCTGTCGTTGTCTCTACCCACTGTTCGAATTCCGAACTTTCGGCGTTCGCGTTTGAACGCTTTCGGACAGATTAGTGGGTATAGACGCTAAGCGCAGCTAGCTTGGAGTCTATACCGAGTTACCTACTAGTCATTCCAGCCAGAACTCGGCGGCACTCTCTCTTGCGTCCACGCGCGCTCTCTTGTTTCCTCCGTTCCCTCAATTTCTACTCGTATAGTTTCAGGCAGTGCTCTGTTTTGTAAACTCGCCGGTTTGCCCCTAGCAAAGTGGGCGAAGCCGCGCATGCGCTAACGGGGCGCGGACAAGAAGCGCGCGCCGTCCCGACTGGCAAACCACTGGGGTGCGATCGTGTCGGCGTCGCAGGAGTGAAGTCCCTCCTCGAGAAAACACAAATATAAAACTAAGCTAGGGACAGCATGGCTTTCTATACCCTTCGATATAGCAGTATCGGTGTATAGAACATTTTTCAAACGTAAAAAAAAAGAAGAAAAAAAAAAGAGGAAAGGGTCGCCTTGCAGTTGAGTTTGTGCGGAAAAGCCCCCGACGACAAGCTTCCTCAGTTTCAGTGAAGGTTTGTTGTCGTTTTTCCCTTAAAAAACCGACGACCAATTCGCGCTCTCCGCTTTTCTCTCGCTTCCTCCTCTCCCCCTTCAACCCTGTCTACCATTACCTGTTTCCTGTTCCCCCAGGATGAGGAGGATATTCTGCCTTGCAGAATCTCGAGTCTTGTCCGCTGCCTTTAAGGAGATCATGTGTTACTCAAGATTTGGCCGTCACAAG